ATAATCATCATAAACTAATAATAAATAAACATAAAATATTTATAGACAAGTAGCTGTGAATTCTCAAAGCCATAAATGAACATGATAGGATCCTAAAGAAGTCTATCAGGTTTAAACCTTTTTGTTACAATCTCTTGAATATATCCAAGCATAGAGAAAAATAGGTGATGGTGACCAAGCACTAAACAAAACTGTAATGACTGTGGCATGTTATGAATTAAGTTAAATTCATTTAGTTTTACCTCATCTGCTAATATCCCTGTACTGATTTTACACTTACCCTTTCAAACTTGATTCTCCTTTGAAGCATGCTTTATTTAATAATCCATTCAATTTTCCTATTCAAATAAAGTGTTACATACCATTTCATGTAAAAAAATCAAAATAATTATATTCATTTGTTAATAAACTAGATATACACTGGTACTTATGATGATTTGAATAAAAATGGGTCTCACGATCCCACAAGATGTGGCACTATTAGGAGGTGTGGCTTTATTGGTATAGATTTGGCCTTGTTAGAGGAAGTATGCCAATGGGTATGAGCTTTGGGATTTCAAATGATCAAGCCAAGCACAATGTTTTTCTCTCTCTTCCTTTTGAGTGCCCATCCACATGTAGAATTCTGGATTGCCTGCCTGTATGCCACCATGCTTCCTGCCATTATGATAACAGACTAAACCTCTGTACTCTAAATTACCGAATCATTTTCCTTTATATAAATTGTCATGGTCATGGTCATAGTGTCTCTTCACAGCAAGAAAAATACAAACGAGGACAGTAATGAAATCATGAAAAATTTTAAGGGGGATTAAACATCCTAAGCAATTAGGGAAATGCAAATTAAAACTGAATTTGGATTTTATCATACCACTGTGAAGATTGCTTAGTTCAAGAAAATCATGACAACAAATGATGCAAATGATATGGGAAATGGCAATACTTATACATTATTAGAGGGACAACAAATGGATTCAGCTATTATGGAAATCAGGTTTAATAATTCTATCAGAAAGCTAAAAATAAATCTATACTGATACAACACTCCTGAGTGCAAGTACAAAGGATGCAACACCCTGCTCCACAAATCCCTGCTCAACCACCTTCACTGCTGCTTCTTTCACAATAATCAGGGAACAGAAATACTCTAAATTTCTCTTAACTGTAAACAATTAATGAAACAGATAATGAAAATAGGGTATATCTACACAGTGGAATCATATTTGTCCGTATTAAAAATAAAATAAAATCATGGAATTGAGGGAAAAGGCATTCAAACAACAGGAAAATAACATAACACATGAACACACACACACACACACACAAATAAAATTATACCACTTTGGGTGATACTACTTGGAGTAATCATCTCCCCCAAGAAACAAACGCTATTTAACAAAACTTCTGCACAGGGCAGAAGAAACTTCTTTGAGGTGGAGGTCAAAGAAGTCCAAGAGATTTGTAAAATAACATAGGATATTACAATTGTCCTTGGTTCCTTTACAGAACTTGAAGACCCTAATGCTGAAGACATCACACATTTCAGAAACAAGGAATGGACAATTTGAGTTAGAACTGTCCTGGAAGACTCTTCTGCGAGATCTAGCTCTCATTGTCCTGTAGGGTGCTATGCAAGCTACAGAAGAAAAGCAGCAATCAATATTCCTACCCAGCTTTAAAGCCCACAGACAACAAACTTGACTAGCAGGACAAGATTTTCCCAAGGGTACATAATGTACAATTACATCTTGATACATAATGGACAATTATATCTTGAGAGTGGCCAACAGCTTCCTATTTGGACTTAAGCCCTGCTCAGTAAGAGAGAATTCAAAGAAACTTCTCATTGCAGTCCATTTCAGAATTCCACAACTGACCAATATATAGAGAAAAGCTACTTATGTGGTGCCCAGTACCAATGGGTATATCAACAGCACAACCCCTAAACCTACAGCTCAGAGACCACCATCAAATAGATAGCAAAAGAGATAGCAAGAACTAAAGGACCAGAATTGTCTGCTGTGAGAAAGTATCATGTATATATGACTGGGAAGTTGAATCTAGATGTAGAACTCTTACCTCCTTCTCCATCACCATGTCTGCCTGCATGATGCCAAGCTTCTTACCAACAATAATGGACTAAACATCTGAAACTGTAACCCAGCCCCAATTAAATATCTTCTTTTATAAGAGATCTCATGTGTCTTCAGAGCAATAGAAAAACAAACTAAGACACTCATTGTAGAGCTTATCTATGAGAGTTCAGCTTTGATTAACATAACTATGTATCTATAATAAATTCTTCACTCAACAAGGCTTCTAAATTAGAAGTAAAGTATAAGAAATATTTTCCATTAGTATTAGGATTCATGAAAAGTAAAAGCTTCAAGCCAACTTTTACATTTATGAAGAAAAAGCATAAAGCTCTATTTTACTATAATGCCATTTATATACAATGTAATATTTTATCTCAGCAGAAAATCAGCAATCCCAACAGTCTGCCATGGACAAAAGTAAGAATTCTATGAACAAAATACAAGGACAAATATCAATTTGAAAATACAATGAGAATGATTTGGAGATAGGCAATCTTCATGCCTAGTTACAACTGAGTTTCTGTGTATATTCCTTCTGCCCTTTCTATGTGAAGCTCCTGTAAGGAGGAAGAAGAACCTTTGATTCAAACATTCTCTTAAAAATAGAGGTCTGTGCCTGAAAATTAGCCACTGGATCATTCTTAGAAACAACAACAATAATAAATTAGTCATAGTGTCATATTTTGTTCAATTTTTGATACATGGAAAAATTAATTATGTACTTTTAATGAATTTATTTCTATTAAATCTACAATGACCCCTGCTCAAATATCACATCTCCTAGAATGCCATATATATCTACCCAGAGAGTACATAGAGAGAATTTTCCTGTCTTTCTCTTTAGAGTCAATCATTCCATAGATTATGATATCATATTTATCCATTTATGAGTTCTTAAATATAATAGATGAGATGTGCCACAAGCATGTTGTTATTTGTTTTCATATCATTTCCAGGAGAAATATCAGAAAAATTGATTTTTAGTCAGTTAACATTGAATGGGCTCACAACAGAATAATCAAAAATCTTCTTGATAGGCAAGAATCATTTTCATTAATAAATAGGGTAAGAAATGCTAGAAGCAGACTTTTGTGTTTTTTGTTTTAGTTTTTATTTTGATTGTGGTTTACATGCGGCTGATTGCCGTTTTCAAATGTGATAACTAATACATTGTATCACAAACTCAAAGTCATAAAATGCCCCATTTCATTCATGGGTGCAAATCCTAACAACTGTCACAAAGTTGCTAGACACTGTTGTTGTAGCTGTGACTTATCCAATATATTCCATAATCTTACTTATTTACACATGCTTTTAGGAAGCAACCATTTTGAGTTCAGTCATTCCACGACAAGAGAGTAAGTATCTCTGGCTATGTTCCTAACCTATTCACCTTTAACTATTGTTTTTTCTAATCCCATCTTGTTAAAATAATCTGCCTTTCTATCTCTTATCTTCTTTCCTCTCCAAGCCCTCTGTTGATATTTGAACTTAATTCCTTACACATGTAATAAATCACTATTCCACTGAGCTATATCCCAACCTGAGAACTATTCTGAGAGGATAACTTTATAGCACCATATCACCCCATCTTTATAGTTTCAATAAATATATTACTTGTTTTGATTCTAAATTGTGATGCAATACATTCTTTGTTGTTTTTACAAACAGTATTAACTTAACTACTAAATATATAAAGTAGTTTGTAAGGACTCAATTATATTAAGTTTATTTTTAGTAAGAATCATTCATAAATACATTTTGATTAAATGTGTGACAGATTCTTTCATCAATCATAGTATTCAATGAAGTTAAATTATTCTGTGGAAACAATTTTACATCTGGGAATACTAATAATACAGTGATAAAAACACAGAAATTATATTCCTGTACATCCCTTACGTGTGTGTATGAGAGAGAAAGGGGGAGAGAGAGAGGGGGAGAGAGAGGAATGAAGGGAGGAGGGGGAGAGCACGTTCATATGTAGTATGATATATATGAATAGTAGAAGAATACTTGATTTTTTTTTCTCAATCAATTTCCACCGATTTTTTGGTATATGAGATCTCCCTGAACTTGGAGGACACTTCCTCAGACCGAGAACTACTGGTACAGACAGAGGTGCTTTATCCACAGAGCCATCTACCAAGCTCCCATGCTTCTGTCTGTGAAGACTCTAATGAATATATTTACTATATACTAAACTGAGTTTTCATTATGTGTGTCTGTATTTATATGTTGTATATCTATCTGTATTTATAGGTTTCAGAAAGGAGGTACTGGAAATAAATAGGAAAAAAGAAAGAGATGAAATGGGTTCAAAAATATAGTAGGAAAAAATTAAATAGATTTCTTATATTTTGTGAATACACACACACACACACACACACACACACACACACACACACACATATATATATATATATATATATATATATATATATATATATATTACATAGCTGCTCAAAATAAAAGTTTATGTATAACATAATCTATGTACCATGACACTGTTGTCCTTCAAGCTTTCTTCTGGGCTATGTTGTACTACATTCCACAAGGCCAAAACACCAAAACTATCATTAGTAAAAGAATCTGGTTATACCTCCACACTTCATGCTTTAATTTACTGCTTGCAAACCTTTTACTTATATCATCACCTTTCATTTACACATGCAAAAATGTGTCCCCCCAAATCACGTTAACTAAGTTATAGCACTATAAATGCATATAATTTACTATTTTGCTATTTTTCATGAAAACAAATTTATATTTGGAACATTAAAAATTTAGGGCCAAAATCATAATAGTAGATGTCACTCCTTTTACTACTTTACAAAAATATGGGATATAAAGGTAGTTTCCTTCAATGTCAAGTACAAAAGCATCCACAATTAAATATCTTACCAATTATTTTTGTCATCACAAAAGAGAAGATTGGCAAAAAATGAAACGGGTTTAGATGAACTGAAGCTAAGATGACATGGTAGCTCATCATTAATTCCAGTATTAGAGCCAGTAATAACTCTTCCTTTAGGAAATGTCACAGTAAGTGGGTGAATCTCATCATCATCAAGAAGTTTTGCAGTGGGAATCTTGAACTGTAGATTTGAATTTCTGTTTAACATAAAAAATTAACATATACTTTTTTCTCAAAGTATAAGCATTAATTTAAATAGAATGTGTATTTATATTTTCAAAAAGAAAATGTATGCAGCAGTATGTTTAAGCATCCTGAAAATAACACCAGTAGCACAGACACTGAAATTAACACTTAACAAATGGGACATCCTGAAACTTCAAAGCTTCTATAAGGCAAAGGACGCAGTCAACAAGACAAAACAGCAACCTACAGAATTGGAAAAGATATTCACCAAACCAACATCTGACAGAGGGCTGATTTCCAAAATATAAAAAGAAGACAAGAAGCTAGTTAACAAAATAACAAATTATCAAATTAAAAAGTGGGCTACAGTACTAAATAGAGAATTATCAATAGAAGAATCTAAAATGGCAGAAAATGCTCAACATCCTTAGCCATCAGGGAAATGCAAGTCAAAACAACTCCGAGATACCGTCTTACTGTCAGAATGGCTAAAATTACAAACACCAAACACAGGTTATGCTGGAGAGGATTCAAAGAAAGAGGTACACTCTGCCACTGCTTGTGGGAGTACAAACTTGCACAGCCACTTTGGAAATCAGAACCTTAGGTTCCTCAGGAAAATGGGAATCAGCCTACCTCAAGATATAGTAATTCCACTCTTAAGTATATACCAAGAAGATGGACATTCATATAACACAGAAATCTGTTCAACTGTGTTCAAAGAAGCATTATTTGTAATAGCCCGAACAGGGAAGCAACCTAAATGCTCCTCAAATGAAGAATGGATGGAGAAAATGTGGTACATTTACACAGTGAAGTATGAAGTACTACTTGGTGCAAAACAAAACATATAAACAAAAATGGAATCTAAATTCTCAGGCAAATGGATGGACCTAGAAGGAACCATCCTGAGTGAGGTATTCCAGTCACAAAAAGAAAAACATAGTATGTATTCACTCATATATGGTTTTTAGACATAGGGCAAAGGATTACTAGCCTACAATCCATGCATCCAGAAAAGCTAGGAAAGAAGGAGGATGCTAAGAGAGACATACATGTTTCCAGGGAAAAGGGGAAAGGGACAAGATCACCAAAGCAAATTGGGAGCATGTCGGGAGGGCAGAGGGAGTTAGGAGTAAGAGGAGTGGGGAGGCGGGCATGAGGGAATGTGAAGATTGAGTTAGGGAAAGAATAGAGGAGAGCAAGAAAAGAGATACCATATTAGAGGGGGCCATTATAGGTTTCAATAGTAATCTGGCACTAGGGAAACCTCAACTAGCAATCTAAGCAATAGTGGCAAGGCTACCTTAAATGCCCTTCCCTGATAATGACATTGTTGACTACCATATATGCCATCCTAGAACCTTCATCTACTGGCTGACTGAAGCAGAAGCAGATACCCACAGCTAAACACTGAGCCAAACTCCTAGAATCCAGTTGCAGACAGGGAGGAGTGATGAACAAAGGGGTCAAGACAAGGATGGAGAAACCCACAGAAGCTGCTGAACTGAACAACAGGGAGCTCATGGACCCCAGACTGATAGCTGGGAAACCAGCATGGACAGGCCCAGATTCCATGAATGTGGTGTTTTTGGGTGGACTGGGCAGTCTAGGGACCTCTGCTAGTGAATCAGTATTTATCCCTAGTATACAAATGGACTTGGGGAGCCCATTCCATATAGAGGGTTATTCCCTCAGCCTAGAAACATGGGGTAGGGCCTAGGCCCTGCTCCCAATGATATGACAGACTATGAAGACTTTCCATGACAGTCCTCACCCTTCCTGGGGAGCATAAGGGGGATGGGATGAGAATTTGTGAGGAGAACAGGAAAGGACGGGAGGGTGCTGCAACTCAGATTGACATGTAAAACAAGCTTGTTTCAAACTTAAATAAAAACTTATTTTAAAATGGTCAGTGTATAATGAAATGCTTAATACTTCCAAACAATATCAAGAAGTCAGGTATAGGATATAATTTTCACATAAAATAGATACAAACAAAATTATATATAATGATGTAGAAAAGTCATATTAAGAATTTACCTGAAATAGTTCTGTGGCAAAATTCTGATATCCACCCCAGCTGTAATATCCAAAGGAACAGGAGTAAAACATATAAATGGTGGATCAAAAAGTATCTTTGGTGATTGTATCTCTCCAATCAAACTTAATGTTCTATAGTCAAATAAATTATCATTTAAACGTATAGCAACATCAGCTCGATAGGTTATGGGCTCCCCTATGGGGAAAAATTGTTATAGGTTAATTTACTTTCCAAATTGTATATAAGAACTATTAATAAAATATACCATGATAGTAAAGACTATTGAGGCAGAATAGTGAACCCAAGAACAATGCTGCCAGATGAAGTTAGATTAAATAAAGCTTTATTAAAAAAATAAAACAATGTGGCTTCAAGTATGCCTTCTCTAGAGATCCAGAAAACAATTTCAATGTATTTGTAGGGGAGGGGATGATTGTACACTGGGGAGGAAATGTTTACTACATGGGAGAAATAAATAATACATGGAAATAGTATGACAGGACTACCTTTGTTCAGATGTTTCCAATGCTTTTAATGAAAGCTGTGAATGCGCTTTGGTATACAGAACATGAAGATGACATCAGAAACTGCTGGAAGGATATAAAGGGACTACTGAGAAAGGGATTTGCTGAATGAAACTCTCAAAGCTTTGAAGATTAAGAAAGGCTACCAGGCACTGGAGAAATGGCTCAGCAGTTAGTACCAAGCTTACAACCAATTGTACCTCCAGTTCTAGAGGAAACACCACAAGCTTTGGGCATCAACAGATCCCTGGCATACATAAGGAATATTATACATACACATATGAATGCAAAACACTAATACACATAAAATAAAAATTTAAAAACATTTTTAAGCGAGAAAAATACATACTTGGACAGAAATGTATGGAAATAGTATACTTTTCATTTGGTTTCAGACTTCCAATCAGTGCAGTAAATTTGAATATGCCACTTTTGAAAAGTTTGTCGATTTTACCAATATCCAAAGACCACTGAACGGTTTTTTTTGAAATATTATATAAGACAAGATCCTGTTCATATAAACATACAAAAGAAGACACTTTTAGAGCTTAATAAATGCATTATAAAATTTTGTTGTTAAGGACAAGATCTAAGCATTTGACTATGGTGATGTTAGCATGCCAAAAAAAAAAAAAAAAACACCTAAAAGGGCTCTTAAATAAATGTATTAATGATTTACAGCAAAATAATAAGAAAATTTGTTATGTCATACTGGCATAGTAAAACAAAGAGAATAGTCTTTCTTACAGGAAATAATCTAAATTATATAAGTGAATGTTTTCTTAAAATCCCCTAATCCTTTGAAGTTAAATCACATCACTGCCAAAGTACTGACTAAGAAACTGGAGAAAAGGAAAGAAATCAGGTAGTTACTATGAATCACTGTTATGCCTGCCACATACATTTTTCATGTGATGTCAAATGTTACCACTGTTAACATTTTCCCACTAGAACCTTAGAAAAGAAATGTGACTGTCCTCTATAAGCTGAAGAAAGCAGTGCTATGAATTTTCCCCTAAAGTCTCAGGAAAAAATCATGGCTCCTGCTAGTACCTTAATCATAATGGAGTATTAACAAGTGATTCAGACACTCTGTCCCCTGGTCACATAAACCAAAACAAGAAAGTTCAATAATGTAAAATAATTTCATTTTCAAATCTGGAATACATTGCAAGACGCTAAAGTTATTTTATCTATCCCACATATTAGATTTGTATACACATAGGGTTTATTAAAAGAAATTTTACTGTCCTTTTATGCTGTGTCTAAAAATTCCATTATAATTTCAGTAGAGATAATTTATTTCTCCACAATTCTTAATTTCATACATTCTATTTTAATCAATGCAATGTTATTTTCCCTATATATTTTATCACTAATAATAAAGATATTTTAAAAAGCTGATTGTAGGAGTAATAATACACTAGAGTAAAAGGCCAGGGAAATACAACTTAAGAGATATATATTATGTTTTTTCATATACATGTCTTTTTTTTCTTCTTCACTATTAAGACTGCTTCTTGTCACATTTCTATATATATATATATATGTGTGTGTGTGTGTATGCATATATATGGAAATATATTAGACACTAATTCAAATTATCTATGTATGCAGTTAAAAGTTATGACATGTATGCTTGAGTTAAAAAAAAAATCTCTGGGTACCAACGATGAGGCTCAGTGGGAAAAGGAACTTGTAATACATCACTGGCAACCTAATTCAGTCCCTAGTATTCAGTAAAGGAAAAGAGAACCAATTCTACAAAGTTTTCCTCTGACCTCTAAACATACAGCATGAAAAGCATGTCCACATAGATGCATCATGAACACAAACTCATAGCAGTAAAAATTTATTTATAAAGTTATTTTTAGTTGAGCACACAGAAGATGGTTCAGTGGGTAGAGTGCCTAGATAGCCAGCAATGCAATGTGCTTTGAAAGGTCCAGAAACTAACGAATGGCCAGAAGATATCATGTCTATCTCTAATCCAGTGCCCCTACAGTGAGATGGGGTTAATGACAGAAAAATCCCAAAGCCCATGGGCCACTTAACATTTAGCAGCTATAAACACATATATTCAAACACATGATACTGACACATATTGTAAATAATATATGTATGTATATTTATATATACCTAAATTATATACTTATGTGTATCCACATGTACTATTCTCTAAACAATCCAGTGTTGTTGCTCCAAATATTCTGAATAAATGTGACAACTTACACATAGGCAATAGTTCACTCTTTCAAATAATGAATTCAGGAAGTGACAACTAAAAAAATTATAAAATAATTATGAATTATAAAGTATAGTAATTATATACCTGAATTCTTGTGATCTCCTTACTATGTTGAATCTCATATAATGGGATTTTAAAGACAAACTCAGTGCTGGATAATTCCAATGGTGCTCGCAATACTTCAGGAGAAAAGTAAAAAAATGTTGGTAAAAAGATTGTGGACACTACTTAGTCTATTTTGAAAAATGAAATAGCCAAGAATTAAATGTTTGTTTTATACTTCTAGTCAAAAAGTAAAATTCCATTTCAAACATTTATAAGATAACCTTGATTTCCATATCCACAAATTTCATTTTATAAAATATACTGCCAATGAATTACATGTAAAACAAAGCCATAAACATTGAATAAATTCAATATTGAAAGAAAAAATAAGGGATTTTAACATGATCTCTATATCAATCATGTAGAAATGGAAAAGCAAAAATACCCCAAAACAGAAAGGTCTCCCATGCTCATGGATCAGTAGAATTAACATAGTAAAAATGGTCATCTTACCAAAAGCAATCTAAAAGTCAACGCAATACCCATCAAAATTACACCACAATATTTCACAGACAATACTGAATGGAATAAAATAAAGAATAATAACTAAGACAATCTTGTACAACAAAAGAACTTCCAGAGGTATTACCAATCCCTGACTTCAAGCTCCAAAACAGGGACAGAGTAAAAAACATAGAATGGTATTGGCATAAAAACAGATAGGTTGATCAATGGAATTGAATATAAGATTGAGAAGTAAATCCACACACCCATGGACAAATGATTTTTGACAAATAAGAAAAAAATTATATAATAGAAAAAGGAAATCATCTTCAACAAATGGTGCTGGTCTAACTAGATGCCAAATCATTCAGGGGTACCTCCCACTTTCTCTTCTAGGAGGTTCAGTGTGGCTGGGTTTATGTTGATGTCTTTGATGCATTTGGAATTAAGTTTTGTGCATAATGATAGATATGGATCTACCTGTAGACTTCTACACACCATCATCCAGTTGTGCCAGGACCACTTGTTGAAGATTCTTTTTTCCTTTCATTGTATAATTTTAGCTGTTTTGTCAAAAATCAGGTGTTCGTAGGTGTGTGGGTTATTATCAGGATTTCTGATTCAATTCCATTGGTCTACCTGTCTATTTTTATGCCAATAACAAGCTGTTTTCAGGTTTATAGCTCTACAGCAAAGCTTGAAGTCAGGGATGGTGATGCCTCCTGAAGTTTCTTTATTGTACAGAGTTGTTTTGAATATCCTGGAGTCTGGGGGGGGGGGGTCATGGGAGGATAGGAGGAAGAGGGAACTGGGAAATAATAAAAAGAGACAAAGAAACAAATACACACAGAAATATATTTATGTTCATATATATATGAATAGGAGTAATATACATATATATGAAGAAGAATGAAGAGGAATAATATATATGCACATACATATATATATTATATATATATAAAATGTGTATTCACTCCAAATATATATATATATATATATATATGCATTCTTAAAGAGATGCATATATATATGCATCACTTTAAGAATGCTGCATTTTGTCTGCCCTGATGTTTTAGGTAACAGGTAATTAAAAGACAATTCAAGTGACCAAAAAAAAAGAAAAAAATAACTAGATGCCAAAATTGTAGAATTCACATAGATCCATATTTATTGCGCTGCACAAAAGTCAAATCCAAATGGATCAAAGACCTCAATTAAATCCAGGTACAATGACCACTGATAGAAGAGAATGTAGTAAAAACCCTTGAACACATTGACAAAGGAGACAACTTTCTGAATAGAATATCAGTTAAACAGACACTGAGATCAACAATTAATAAATGAAATCTCATAAAACTGAAAGGTTTCTGTAAGGCAAAGGACACTGTCGCTAAGAAAAAAATCAGCAGCCTACAAAATAGGAAAAGATCTTCACCAATGCCACTTTTGCAGAGAAGGCTCATCTCCAAAACAGATAAAAAATAACCCTCAAGAAACTAGACACAAATAAAACAAATAATCCAATTAAAAATGGGGTGCAGATCTAAACAGAATTCTTAACAGAAGAATCTCAAATGGCTGGGATACACTTAAGGAACTTTTAAACTTCAACATCCCTAGCCATTGGGAAGCTGACATTCCATCTTATACCAGTCTGAATGGTGTAAGATCAGAAACACTAAAAACACTAATGACAGCTTGTGCTGGAGAAGATATGGAACAAAGTGAACACTTCATTATAAGTAAGGAGTGTAAATATGGCATTTTCTCAGAAAAGTTAGAATGATTCTATCTTAAGGCCCAGCTATTCCACTCTTGGGCATATACACAAAGCATTCTCAATCATTCCACAAAGACTCTTGTTCAATTATATTCATAACAGTATTATTCATAATAGCCAGAACCTGAAAAAAAAACTTACATGACCCTCAACTGAAGAATGGATAGAGAAAATGCAGTACACATACAAAATAGAGTATTCATCAGATTAAAAACAATGACATCATGCAAATGGATGGAACTAGAAAAGAATCATTCCCAGTGAGGTTACCCACAAAAACATGGTATGGGCTCACTTATAAGTGGATATTAGCTGTAAAGTAAAGGTTAATCATGCTACCATCCACAGCTCCAGAGAATCTATGTAACAAGGAGGGTTCAAAGGGAATGGGAAAGCATGCATTTCCTTAGGAAAGGGAACCAGAAGAGATCTCCTAGGTAAACTCAGGGCTGGTGGGGTTGGGAACATGAAGTAATGGGTTGGGAGAGTGAATGGAGGGACAGATTAGGGAATGAAATATTGAGAATGGGGGGGATTTGGGGTTCATGTAGAAATCTTGAACAAGGGGAAACTCCCACAAATCAGCAAGGGTGACCGCAGCTAAGACTCCTAGCAATAGTGGATAAGTTTCCTGGTCTTGCTATTTCCTGTAATCAATTGGTAACTATCCCCATTGTCATCAGAGAGTCTTTATACAGTGACTAATGGAAACAGATACAGGGAACTGTATCTGAGCTGAGCCTGGGGAAACCTGTTGAAGAAAAGGAGGAAGGACTGTATGGGTCAGTGACAAGGGTAGAGGATATATGTCAAGATCATCACAAAGAAAAACAAAGAAACAACTAACCTTAGTTCATAGTAGCTTACATACTCTGAAATAACAGGGAGCTTACATGGGAAAGACCTAGGCCCTCTACATGTGTGAATGATTTGTATCTACTTGTAGGACTCCTAGTGGTAGAAACAGGGCCTGCACCTAATGCTTTGGCTGGCTTCCAGGGACCCAATCCTCATAGTTGGCCAGTCTTAATACAAGGAGAGAAGTTGAATCCTATCTCAACTTGATATGCCATGCCTTGTTGACACCGATAACAGGCTTGCCCCTTTCTGAACAGAAAGAGAGGAGTGCATTGAGAGTGAGGGGGAAGAGGGTTGAAGAATGGGAGGAGAGGAGGGAGGGGAAACTTTGGTGGAGAAGTATAATAAATGAATAAAATTAATTAATTAAAAAGAAATTGATTTTACTTTCTAGTATGCAAAATTGTAAAAACTAAAAATGATACTTATTTTTCTTTACTTTTAGATGTACAAACACCAGCTGACTTTCAATATTACATACCAGTAGCTTGAACAAAACATGGTGGAATAAGTGGTGATACTCTTGGCATCAACACCTTTTTCTGTGACAAATATTCACAGTAGAGTTCTGAGGCCTTAAAGGAATTAATAAGGACAGGAAAGCTAAAATCATATGTTGCTACCTGTCAAAAAAAGATGAGAAGTTATAATTTTGAGGGCTTTGATAATTTTTGATTCACCAAAATGAACTTTTTCAAAATAACATTACCTTGGAGCATCGAAAATATATTTATTTAATAAAGTAAAAGTTGTATTATTTATTTCATCAAAAAATAAGTCTCTAAAACAATCAGGTAAATTGCATTTAAAATGCCTGCTTATTAAAAATGAACCAAATATCCACCTATAAAAGCTAAAATATTTGGAAAAATACAGAATGTCATTGCGGTCCTTGGATAGGCAAGGATTTCTTAAATACTATACCAAGCATATCATTCCTGAAAGAGAAAATTATTAATCTATATAATAAAAAATTGAGAACACCTATTCTGCTACAAATAACGTTAGACACATAAAATGAACCAAAACAAATTTCTCACCAAAATTGTAACTAGTAACAAAAATACACAAAGAAGACTCTAAGATCATTTATAAAATGGTATAGAAAATGAAAACAGAGATGGAAGTGTGGGAAAGACATTTCTGATAAGATACGTACATGGTGACACATTAACACAAGCAAAGATGTGATGTGTCACATCAAACATCAGGGAAATGCAAGTTGAAATCACAGGATGTGGCCCAATGAGATGATGTTTCATGGCATATGCTTGCTGCCAAGTCTAGTGACCTGAATTCAATCCCCAGGGCACACATGGTGGAAGTAGGGAACTGACTCTTGCAACTTGTTCTCTGATCTACACACACAAACCACTACAAATAAATAAATATAAATTTAAAAAGGGGGAAATATCAGGAGGTAAAAATTTCTCACCTACACAACTGCTTAAACAAAAGTAACAATATTAAATGGTACTAAAGCAGTTTGCGTACTCATAATATACAGACATACAAATTAAAGTCCAATGTTCCCTTATTAAGTTTCTAGGGGTAACAGTAGAAAGAAATCAAGAAAAAAACATATTTTAAACTTTCAGATGAAAGAAAAGCCCCCAAGGTCATGACAACAAAGATGGTACCCCAGGAAATGTCTAGTGCTATACTCTACTAAGAGTCTATGCTAACAATTATGTTTTAAAGAAAATGAACATCAACCTCCTATATTGGGGATCATTTCAGATGGGGAGATGAGCATTACACTGGTTATGCAAAAAAACTAGTTTTCATTTTTACTTTATTTAACTGTATTGGACCATATCACTGTAAATTCCATCTCATAACATCATTGAGAAGCATAAAAATCCAAAAGTTTATTTTATTTTAATGACCATTTCAAAATACTCATTTCCATGATAATCGATTTCTGCAATAGTACCTGAAAACAGACATCAAGAAGTAAACTGACTAAAGATATAGATATGATTTGCTTTCATATTTCATAAAGAAAAAGACAACATCTTATTTCTTTGAGTACTTCTTTAGACTACAGAGACCAGTCACAATTTCTTACTTGTCTTTTCTTATTCTGACTGATCTGCTTTTTTTTAATTTACAAATTAATAAAAATCAATACTCTATTCAATATGGCCAAACATGACTGAGAGTAACCCCTTTGTATCTGTGATATAAGGTTCTAGGACATAATTTATAATCTTTCTAGGACATAATTTATAATCTTCCCATTTCCAAATGTGATCAGGATAATGGGAGGATGCATATTCAACCATACACAAATAATTTGTATAAAACAAAGTCATATACATTTTGATACTTTTCTTTTGTGTAAGAGGTTTTCTGACTGTATATATGTTTATAGACAAAATATGTGCCTAGTGCCCATAAAAGTCAGAAGGCATTGTACTCCCTGGAACTAGAATGATGGATGGGTGAGAGCCAGCATATGGATGTTCCAAACTGAATCTGGGTCTTCAGTAAGATCAAAAGAGCTCTTAATCACTGTCTTAGTGAGGGTTAGAAGAGACACCATGACAATAGCAACTATAGTAAAGAAAAACATTTAATAGGTGCTGGCTTACAGTTTCAGAAGTTTATTATTCCATTATCATAATTTGATGGGTAACATGGCAGCATGCAGGTGGTTATGGTGCTGGAGAAGTAGCTGACAGTTCTACATCTTGATCAGCGGGCAGCAAGAAGACTGACACTGGACATGTGTAGTTTGAGCATATAAGGTCTCAAAGCCCATCTCCACAGTGATATACTTTCTCCAAAAAGATACTACTCCAACAAGGCCACATCTCCTAATATTGCCACACAGTATGACCCTGTGGAGACCATTTTCATTCAAACAACCACAATCACTCAACTATCTCTCAGTCCTCAATACTTTTTTTATACTTATTTACATGGTGTGTAGGTTTATGAATGCCACAGTGCTTATGTGGAAGTCACAGTATAAATTAAAACACTTGGTTTTCTTCTTTCACCATATGAGCTCCAGGAATTCAATTCAGGTCATCAAGACTGCTAGCCAAAACCCTCACCCTACTGAGCCACTTTGCTACCACCTTTAAATCTAGACTACTTAAAAAAATTAATGTAATATATAGGAAGTTGTTAAAATAAATTCCTTAGTATATAATTTCAAGAAATAATATGTTTATATGTTCATTGATGATTCAGATTTTCCCCAAGTATCATTTATACTATGGTTCCTGAATCTTCTCATGAAGGATTAGTAGAAACATCAGGCTAACTATACATCATTTTTAGCTAATTATTTCATTTAACATTTTTCTGCATATTATAGGACATATATCTTAAAGTAAAATATAGCCAGTGTTTTAAACTGTCACTCTCTTCATACTACAAGATGGAGATGGGTTCCCAATCACTGGGAAGAGGGCAATAGGCTATGGAAATACAAAGACAAGGAATAGGAGGGTAGAATTGTAGATTGGTTTCTAAGGGGATATAAAAAATTACTTAAGAATTGAGAGAAGCATGCAAGATGTACGGAGTTTGGGAATCAGAGAATATCTACTTTGGTGAAGAGATATATTCATATAACATAGAATTCAAAGAAGCAGGAGCCGTAAACAAAGATAACATAGAAGAATCAAAAAAAAAAAAAAAAAAAAGATTCCAGAAAAATAAAATTAACTTCTAGACCTACTCTAAGAGCCAGAAGAACTATTAAAAAGCAAAACCAAGAGAAGAAGTTTCCTTGATAAGTGTGTGTATGTGTGTGTGTGTGTGCACACACGCGAGTGCACATGTAATGGAATAAAAGGATTCAGGGGAGGGGCAAATGATAAGAATTATGAAAATATACGGCTACTCGAGGATGGGATGACAGAGGGGAAAGAGAAAGAAATCTACGTATGAGAAGAATCAGAAATATTGTGGAATATTATCTTAAGGTGTGTTACATCTGTTTATGCTCTGGAATATTTGTTTATTATGTAAAGGTGTGTTGCTTTTGTTTATGCTTCATTTGTTTAACTCTTTGGACCTGTGATTCTTTTTCTGTGTAAAACACTTGATGGTTTCATAAGGAGCTGAATGTCCAATAGCAAGGCAGGAGAAAGGATAGATGGGGCTGACAGGCAGAGAGTATAAACAGCAGAAGAAATCTTACATTGAGAGAAGGAAAACAGAGAACAAGGAAGGAGGTCATCAGGAGCCAGCCACACAACAAGTAAGATATACAGAAGTAAAAAAAGGAAAGAGCCCATAGGCAAAAAGCAGTCGAGTATAACTGAAGAACAGCTGGCAAGAAACATGCCAAGCTGAGGATGGGCATACATATTTTAAGACTCCATGTATGATGTATTTGGCATCTGGGTGGCAGGCCCCTCCAAAGGAGCCAAAAGAGACCAAAGGCCAAAAGAGTAATAAGAGTAAAAAAAAATACCTACAAAGTTGAAAATATATTCCATATGTTCAAATATTATAGAATAACATGAGTAAAAAAAAAAACAGTCTGGTCTGAGTTCACATAAGTTAGTTCTGCCAGGAATTGGATATAAAGGCTCAACTGCTGGGTTTATTATTAAATATCAAAGTCAAGATTATAGGAATAGAAACAAAATTAATCCAGAAAATTAGTAAATTAACCAATATATTAATACAGTTTATATTAAATTAATTATTTATGTTAATTAATATATTTCTAAATGTATATACCTATCTATCTAACCAGAATTAATTGAAAAAGAGACCATGACTTTGAAAGATAGCAAGAAGATACAGTGGAAATTGTCAGGAGGAAAGGGAAGTGGAAACAATTATTTTATAATCTGAAATGTAAAACAAATGATAAAAATTCAAAGAGGTTTAACATACAGGAAGCCATGAAAACTCATTTAAATACATCTGATAGAGATAGTCATGATGTCAGTATATACCAAGATAAGTCAATATATCCATTTGAATCCTTAATTTACTTTTTAGTTAAGATTTAGTCTTCCAAAAAAATCTTTTAAGTTTTTATATGATTAGTTGACAAAGAAGAAATAAAATTGCTAGTGAGTATGTGAGAGCCATATACAATTTGTTCTCTCAGCTTAAACATTCATGCATAATTTGTTTAAAATACATCTTCCCAAAAGGTAAACATGTACGAACAAATTACCTCACTTACAAAATTGTTATCCCTTCAACAACACTGTAAGAATAGGAGGTATTCTCAGTTCCATCAGAGCCGGAACACAGCACTATAACAGAACACCAGCTACAAATTTCCTTACTTCCTGATCACATATTCTGTGGATCTCACAGAACAACTCCTCCTCATGCTATCACAGCACACACCATCTGTTAAACCTGGGTCCATAACTGTCAGAAAACCTGATGTCAAGAAGACAGCATAAAAACACAGTCAACAACATACAGGAAAATACAACCCAGCTATTGCTGCCACAGCAGCCCCAGAATAATCCAACACACTTAATGAAGAAAAAAAAATACCCTAAAATGAACTACATGAACATGATCGGGTTCCTTAAAGAGGAAATGAATAAATCCCTTAAAGAAATACAGGGAAACATGAACATAGATGTGGAGGAAATGAATGAATTCTTTAAAGAAAGTCAAGGAA